ATTATTAATAATAATTGTAAAGTATTTAGTGTATTGTTAGCTGTCTTATAATGCAACTTAAAGGCTGGAAAGGAGCAGGAGCCAGTTCAGCTGACCACATAGTTCTCTACACTCCTTCAGAAGACCACAATCTCTACATTACTATGATCTATGGCACTCATGATCTACATATTACCTGCTCTCTCTCTAAATAGGCCTTCAGAGGACAGAACCTAGTAGCTCTAGTAAGTCATGGCTAAATTCTTTCTAAATCTACAGTCCTAAAAACAAAATGGAAAGGACTTAACGTGTCACATTCTATCCTGAATGTGAGAGTATATTTTTTGTTAGGTGTTCCTGAGTATGCGTTTTGTCAACTTCAAATAGTGGAAGCATCACAATTGTATACCACATCAGGTACCCCAGCCACTTGCTACCACTGACTGACCGCAATTCCTCTTCCAATTTAGTTTGAGAAGCAATTGTGAAGATCTGCAGGCACGGAAGTAAGCAAGTGAAGGAATATCTATTCTATTGCCATCATGGTTCTCTACATTCAGTCCTGACATCCTAAACCTACTGAGAGCCAGACTCTAAGAAATGTGTTTAACAGGCCAGTTGAAATTTTGTTGCCAGGCAGCCCTCTCTTTGACAGCTGTCACAGATAACATTTCCCCACATGACCCAAGCAACACCGTGTGTCTCCTGCTTATCACAGCTTGACTTCATTGACTAGAAGGGAGAAGGGCAGATCTTTAAAATAGTGAGACAGTGTTATGATTTTTATCAATGGCAGGTGGCTTGCCTCCAAACGTTCGCTCTGATGGGGTAGAAATATCAGGCACTTGACCAACTGGAAGGATAAAACAGAATGTTGTTCCTGCAGAGAAGCCTCGTGCTTTTCTTCTGATCAAGCCTAAACACATTCCAATCATTTTCCTTGCTTCCTCTCTTATGTCAGCACCAGGGATTAAAGATGAGCCAGAAATATAAGCACACAATGAAACTGCCACAAGGTGTCACCAAAATGCCATTATGCATATTGTAAACAGCTGGGGGTCGATTATTCAAGATTGCTTGCTCTCCATGCAAGGAGTGGAGGAATGCAGAGTACAGTACAACTGTTCTCCCTCATGTGCGTTGGGCCTATCTTCCTTAATAGTTCTGACATTTGAAAACTGAATAAAAACCAAGTGTGGTTCTTTGCTAATAGTTTGTCCTAGCATTCAGCAACTCATTGCCAACTCATTTGGAGCAATTTACATAACAAATTCTAATTAATTCAAGAACAATGAAATTAGTATAAAGATAATCAAATCCAGGTCAATGACAATTTCAAAATGTTACAATCTGAGATGAACTATTCAAGGACAACGGGTATTTTGTTGGTATGAATAGTCCATCATTTAATCATTGTTCTCCTTCCCTCTATGATAAGAACTATTATAATAGCAGCATTCTGATCCCCACCCGATCTTTCATTCTTGGTGGCATGTTGCCTACATATATATCACTTAAATATCTGATATGTCCTTAATCAGAGAATGTAACTGCCCTGGTAGATGGATGGGCTCTGTGCTCTCAAGTCTTTTCATCTCTAGCTCCCAAGATCCTGCTGTTACAGTCTGGGCTGTTTAGTGCTCTGTAAATCTGCCGTCTTATCTGTTCAAGTACAGCAATGCTTCTAAGTGTTGCTCAGACAAGATAAAAAGAAAACAAAATTGCTTTATAACTCAATAGTTTGGGCTAGCTATGAAATATATAGAGCCCCATTTATTTGATGAAGTCCATGTCAGCATGGTGTAGGGGAGAAAAGGTACATTTTAGCCAATGCTTCAGCTTTGTTATTAAAAATAAGAAAAACTTGGAAATCACAGCAAGGCATCCCCCCACAACCACACAGCTCTTTAATGCTCACATGTTGAGCATGAGCCACCAAAGGCTCCCATTCTGGATTTTGTCCCCTCTCACTGTACAATAAGCTCCTTTCAGGATGTTTTCTCCCAAGGAAGCAGCATAACAGCTGTAACTTTAAAACCTGAAGGGCCACTATGGGTGAGAGGTAGTGAATGCTACCATATGTGAATGGTAATGCCAGCAGGTGGTGGAAGTGTGATGACAGTGGGAAATCTGGCAGCCTCCAAGCACAGTGAAAGTGCTTGAATAGAAAGATGTCAGAATCAGGAAGATGAATAACCCTTGAATTTTTCGCTTTTAATTGAAAGGCTAAAGGAAAAAATCTTTTAATTGTGCACTTCCTGATATGCTGCTTTGGGGAAAGCTCACTGACACTCTGGCAGACCAGGTGCTAGCACCTGCCAAGGCCCCTAGGCCTCACTGAACACTGACAAATGCATTGCTGGAAACCAGTCTGGCTCACCTGTGTGCTAGCATTGTTAAAATAGATGTTAAGTTTATAAGAATGTGTGTTATGTTTGAACTTTATGAACTGCTAGTGAGTTGCTGCAGGCATTAATCTCTCTTATAATATCTGTTTCCCATGTTATAAGGGAATCTTTAAGTGTTTGCTTTGAAACTGGAAAGTCCCACAGTCAGGAGACAAGCATTACCAAGTGTGAAATACTAGTTTAGGATGAGAGCTGTCATTTCCTGCCCCAAATGAGCAGATCTCTATAGATACCAGACAAACCATTATGGAACATCAGTGGACAAAAGACTTTGTTGATAGCTCCTTGACACCCACGGATATACACAAACCCTCATCACATCACAGTTTGAATTTTGGGGGAAGGGAATAAAAGTACCTGATCAGAAGGAACTGTAGCACTATGCTGCTTGGAATTTGGAGATGGCAATACTTCTAAGCTTAAGCAAGGAATCCCCCAAGCTGTTTAGCTTGGGTTAGCCCTAAAAGACATGTAGAGCTTGCATAATACAGCAGCTTCTATTACCTTTTTAAATCTAAGACTAACTCATTTCTTTCTGTTTACGGGCTTTAAACTTGTAAACCATTCTATTTTATTTTCCCAGTTAATAAATCTTTAGATAGTTTATCACAGGATTGGCTACAAGCATTCTCTTTGGTGAAAGATCTAAGGTACAAGTGACCTGGTCCTTTGGGACTCGGAGTAAGCTGAATATTATTGATTTCTGATGTAAGGGAACATCTATCACAAAGACAGGCTTGCCTGCACAGCAAGACAGACTAGAGTGCCAAAGAGGACTGTCTATTACTCCATGTTAAGGCTGATATAATGCTTGAGTTCACTCTTGATACTTGGCTGGTGAATCAAATTATAGAACACACAACCAGTTTGGGGTTTTGTGCCCTGGTTTGTAACTGTCTGTGCTGAGTTTGGCACCTATGTTTGTGAGCCATTCCAGACAGCCTGCCACACACTTTGACACTCACCTCAACTATTGTGATGTTCCCCTCTGGTGTTATCTGGACTGGTGATCTGCTAAGTCACTCCAATCCTTGACTCTGGGAGCCAGCCTTACCCTGCTCTGCTGTGAGAACCCCAACTCCTGGGGTGTTCACGCACAGACTCGGGCACATAAGCTGCTCCCAGCTACTTGTAAGCTAATGACACTCACCAATATCTCCGGTCCCAGACCCAACCCTAGGAACCTCCCTCTTGCGGTGTCCAGTTATGCCCGCTGGATGCTGCAAGCTTATATAAGTTCGTCAATTTAACAAAGAAATTGATATGTACCGGGCTTGTTCTCCCAAGGGGAGTCTCTGACACATTGTTTGTTCTCCCTGAAGCAGTGCATGTGTTTTACGAACAGATTTATTAACTATAAAGGTAGATTTTAAGTGATTATAAGTCAAAGCATAGGAAGTCAGATTTGGTCAAATGAAATAAAAACAAAACGCATTCTAAGTTGATCTTAACACTTTCAATGTCCTTAAAAACTTAGATGCGTCTCACCCCAGGCTGGCTGGTTACTTTGCAGTCAGGCTCTCCCCTTTGATCAGTGTTTCAGTGGTGGCTGTAGATGTAGGTAGGAGAGAGAGAGCATGGCAAAATGTCTCTCCCTTTTATCATGTCATTTCTTTCCCTGAATGGCTCATTTCTCCCCCCCCCCCCCGAGTCAGGTGGGCATTACCTCATCACAGTCCCAAGCTGCCCAAAGGAAGGGGGTGACTCCCTTGAGGGTCTAACAGATTCGTTTGTTGCTACCTAAGCCAGTGTCCATTGTTCCTGTGCGGCTGGTCTGGTCTGTCCCATCCATGCCCTGACAAGGTGTGAACTGCCTCTCTGTTCTTGGAGAGTTTTTGCATGGGCTTGCTTTAAGCCACGAGGACACATTTTCAGCCTCATAACTATGTACAAGAAATTATAATTATAACCTATAACCTTACTATACTATTACTGTAACAAGTACTATAACCGCACTATAGCAACGATGCTCGGTGCCTTGTAAGCCTTCCGAACGACACCCAACATGACAAACTTTGCAATGGATACCACACAATCATTTTATAAAGATGAACATGGGGGGTGTAGGGTGTTCCTCCGAGGTACAGAGCATCACACCTCCCCTCTTAGTTTACTGCAAGAGTTAGTCACTGTTAGTTTGTTATCGTTCTCTTGGCATCCAGCAGTTAAGGTCCTGATGCAGTGTGCCTCAGTTTCTCCATTCTCAGCAAACTGGGTTTTCTTTTTTTTTTTTAATAGTTTCTCTGCTGTGATAAGCTTTAAACCTGTTTACAGGTATTAATTGAAAAGTAGCATCATCATAAGGTTTAACATCAGTAACAACATTCTTATCCCAAAATTTAACATTAATACCAAAATTTTTATCTCAGCTGTGGTAGTGTTGCTCTCTGCTTTCCCCATTCTCTCTTCCTGGGAAAGTCTTAGACACCTGAAGGGGAGCACAAAATGCTTACAATGTTATGTAATGGAAGAGAGTTCTGTACATGCTTGTTAACACAAATACAATTGTACAACATGAATTTAATACAGATGTTCAGTTTGGCTGTATTCCTCTCTTCTGAAGTTGTTTGTGCACTTTCTGTCGATGTGAGTGAAGTGAGTTCATAAAGCATAAACACTGGTATAATTTTAATTTAGCAAAGACAACTAGTTACATTTTGAATGTAATGTTCATAAAGTCATGTTCATATTAGTGCATGTTTAGAAAAATACTATGCATTTTAGTAAGAAGGGAAAGCACAGTACACTTCTACAGGAGACAAAATATTTGCTTTAATTAATATTCAGGGAGGTAGTATCGCTACATAATCAAAAGAGGCACTGTTTTTAGTCTTCGGTTTGCAGTTATTTCCTCCTCTGCACTGCAAAAGTCAAAATCATGAGCATGTAGAGACTTCCCCCACTCCCTCCCCTTTCATAGGTATGCATGGCTACCAATCAACTTGAATCTAGTAGAATACACGTGTGCAAGGAAAGGGAAGTGCTTCACAGGAATTTCAGAATGAAAGCTACTTTTTCTTATTAGAAATTAGGAGCTGAGAAAGCCCTCATCTCAACAGTTCACTAGGAAACAATGTTTCAAACATTGTCCTTCACTCAGTATATAATCACATTCTTTTTAAACAAATCCTGTTGTTGTTGTTGTTAAAGGGACAACTAGAAATCAGTTGGTTCACAAAAGTGAGTTCGAGAGTAGTTTTTTCGGCGCCACACTTGCCTTGTGTCTTCCTGCTACTTATTACTAGTTTTAACCACATTTAAGCATTTCTTTAAAGTGCATACTTCTCTCCCACGTTGTGTGAAAGACCACACAAATAGGAAATAATTATTGGAGAAATAATGAAATTGAGTAGACAAACAACTGTCAAATACTCGAAGCAAGTAAACAGAAAAGATTTTACGTAATCTTTTGTGTTACTTTTAAACACATTAAGAAAACAGAGAAGTGTAGTTATTGAAGTTACCTGAATTCCCTTTAACCTCTGAATTGCTATTACTTGTGGCAATGGAAGAGCGAGCTTATCTGGAAAATCTACTTCTTGTTCCAGCTTCCTGGTTTTAAAAAACTGACATATCCAGTTTAATAAGTCTGCAGTAATTGGATACAATTCTTGATTTTGAGAGAACGTACAGGAACCACCACATGTAAGCTATTACATTAAACTCTCCTGTAAGTTGTATACAAAACAAATACCCAATCAAAGCATCTGGCTTTATAGGAAGCTTAAATTGACTAAATTCCAATGTTAATTCCTTGATCCCACAGAGAGTCAGAGCAAGAAATGGATGCAATGGCAACCATTTAATTTTGGGAGCAGGGGGTTTTTTATTGCAGAGGTGAGGTAAATGCTACTGGAAAATGAAAAATAAATGACAACTATTGATTCAGAACAGGAAAAACATTGCAAGCAGCAGGGCTAGCTTCCCCACATCATCTTATTAAGTTCTCTCTATTTTTTAGTGAAGGAATCAACTTTAGGACAAAGAGAAAAAATCTCTTCATGCATTCAGTGCTTGACTTCTCTCCTGAAACTACCAACAAGGCTGCCAGTTTTGTGGGGGTTATTGGCCCATTAAGAAATTAGACCAAGAATCCTAATGCACTTTTAAGCAGCCACTTGAAGGCAATGACTTTCCAACATAGTTGGGGTCCAACTTTAACTAGTGGCCTCGGGAGAAGCCCCATATGCTGTAATAAGTCCCTGTGGCGTCCAGTTCCTCATAATTGTCACAACCCACATTCCAATACAGCCACATTTTTTGTAAGTGAGGAACACATCAAATAGAAAGAAAAATAAAGTTACTTCATTTCTAAACATGTGTTGTGCAGTTCTAAGTCCTGAAGCAACTTTCTCAATTACATGTTAGTATGGAAGATGGGTACCCAAAAGCAGTGGAGCTCTTTAAGTGTATTTCACTCAGTACTTTGGCATGTCATCAACTTAGCAAACCTGACTAAAGAAACAGACATCACCACAAGTCTGAAGTCATTTAAACATTCAAATATGCACAACTGCTGTATTGTTTTTCAAACAATCGTTATTCCCCCAATTCTGTACGCACATTGCTCAGAATTTGAGGTTCAAGCAAGCTCAGTTCTTTCCCATCGTATAGCTCTCGCAGTTCGTTCGATTCATATTTTATGGACGGCTTTTGCACTTGTGTCCCAGGCTCCAGAGCATTTTCTCCAACTATTTTAAGATTCACTAATTTTATTTTCCAGGTATTCTCTCTCACTGGACAGCGGATGAGTCCAAAGATTTGTTCAAAGATGCCCAAGCAAATGTTGCCTCTATGTACTGTGCCAGCTACCGCCACCACTACTAACCCATGTGGAGAAATTACACACTTCAGTCCACCAGCACCCAAGTTGGGGTTCAGTAAGAGATACTCTTCTTTCACCAGTGAGAGTAAACGGAGGCTCACCAATTCTGCACCAACGTATTCTTCCATGTTTTTTTCTAACGTGTTGTAACAAAATTTCAGTTTGACATCCTCCCAGAAATGCTGTGGTCCCCACTGTTCTTTGGATTGTCTCCCCAAAGGATGCTGAGAGTTGAGAAGTTCAAAGAACCACTGACAGAATTCTCTTCCTAGTCTGTGCCAATCATTCTCTTCCTGTTGTTTTTGTCTCTGTTCATAGCTCTGTAATCAAAAAAAAAAAAAAGATTCGCTTATTTTTCTTAGAAGAATTTAGCAGCCGTTAATACAGAAGCTTGGTACTTACTATACACAAGTCTTTAATACAGCTCAAAAAATTTGATGTGCTAAAATTTTAATTTTCTATTTTGCACATTCCTGAGCTTTTCAGACAGAATGCTTGAGAAGGAATAAAGCAAGGAAGTCCAACCTAAACCTCTATTCTTAAATAATGAAGATTCTGCATGCTTGTCCATAATTGGTGCCCAGAAACCTCTTCAATAGTCACTTTAGAAATACTTGAAGTAGTTACTCTTAAGAGAAATGAGAAAGGTACTTAAAATTGGTTTGAGGAATAAGCTCAACAACTCTGGATGAAATCCTAGCTCAATTTAAGTCAATGGCAGTTCTGACACTTACTTCAATGGGGCCAACATTTTTCACACTGTTTCTAAAGAGTATGATTTAGTCTTGCTGTGTAAAAAGGAGTTGTCTGTACAAGTAAATTCTAGCTAAGATTTACACTTAAAACCTAAGATTATGGCAATACCTTGTCAAACCAAGATAAAATACAGAACCAAATGGCTTACAATACATATCCTCAATAAACAAATATCCCCATTTACTTGGGAGCAATGGTAGCAGTTCTCATATTAAAGGTAGCCACAGTAATTAACTCTACCCTCAACGTCTCCCTTTATTGTATTTGTCTTTGACAGATACTAGCAAGCTACCTTTATGCTTTGGACCCTCAAATGACCAGATGGACACAACCAGTCCTGATCAGTATCAGCCATTTTTTAAGTGTGTCCTTGATGCAACATTTGAAGCTGCTGGAGTATCTCAGAACCTACCTGATATTTCAACCCGAGGTAGTAGAAGATGCTAACAAAAAGAAAATCTAACCCAGGAAGAACTGGATAGTTTAGGATTATTGGGAGATAAAACTTTTCACCTCCAGATTACCTACTTGAACCTAGATCGGTTTTATTAGTGACAGAAAGTCAATACCACCGGAAAGCTGTCTGGTCACCTATGTGAAGGGAGTCTGATCTTCACCATGTTTCTAATAGAAAAGTGTCCAAATCACAGTCTCCCAGGGTATCATAACTGCACCCTTTCATCAGCTCTAAGACTACTGGAAAAAATATTTTAAAATAGTAACCCAAAACAAACACTGGCAGCATGAAAGAATACAAAAAATAGTCTGAAGCGATCAACACAGCTCCTCACACAAAACTAAATTTAATTTGTTTAAAAAATCTCAAGGCAGCATGGTCCAACAGAGGACGGTATTAAAACTAGGTTCTCCGCTAATTCACTGTGTATCTTGGGCAAGTCACTCAACTTCTGTATCCCTGGTTTCCCGGTTTTTACAGGTGGGAAATTAAACTTACCTGCCTTTGCAAAGCATTTCTAAGATATACAGAGGAGGAACCTATGTAACTGCTAAGTATTAGAAACAAATGGACTAAACCAATACTAACCTGAAGGGTTATTTCCTTGAAGCAGCCCGGCGAGGCTGCAGTCTGTCCTGCAAATGTAGCGGAGAATGATGGAGATGAAAGCAGAAACTAAGTTGTTATACGTAGCCAGTAGCAAGGGGAAGATCTCGTTGAGGATAGAATAGGGATAAATTGCAATACATTTAATAAAATGAAACCAAGAATAGCAACTGTTAAGAAAGGTATTGGGGGACAATGAAAATTGGAACTTTAAGTGTTTTATAGCTGTGTATGTTATCATGTATAGAGGAGGAAGAAATATGAAGACTTAAATATTTGGGAAATAAGTTGTTATATTTTAAGTACATACTGGCGGGTTACTTTTAAAGATACATTTGGCTGATAATGGGATTCAGAAAAGGAAGTTTTCTGTCATCTAGAGGAAAAATACTTTCCCAGATAAAGGGAGAGTGAATTCATGCAAGTCAGGGATCTGTACAGAGGAGCACTAGACAGTTATCCATTTGTCGCCCAGGTAGGCACATCTCTCGAACCAACTTTGTTCTTAAAGACATATCCTTTGCTTTCTCTTACAATACAGGCTGGTTTCTTCACTGAATATTTTATGACTGAAACTTTGTGACGAAAAGATCCTTAATTTTCCATTAAGTTCTAGCCTACTAATGCCAAGCCCCACGTTACGAACAGGAATTAGATCTATAGGATGAACTGCTCATTTTTTCGTTTGCATTTGTTGAGTGAGATACCAACAATGCACATCTACATCTTTTGGTACTTGCCAATTAACAGCATTCCTTAAAAGCAGATCAAGTCAGAAGCAAGTTCAACAAAGCTACTGTGAAGGTCGTGATCATTATCTTCTGGAATCAAAGTTCGGATAATAACTTCTGTGTTTGAATTTCATATTTTAGATTAAATATATACTCCAGAGTTATGATGCCATGACTTCTCACCCCCACTCCTGCCGCAAGGGGTAAGTGGAAGGAGAAGCCTGACCATAAAGCACAGCTGAATTTCCCATTCTTTCTGCATTTCTCTGAATGAGTATTTAACTCACTTTACTTTTACTGTATCTAATTTCCAGTCATGTATCCTTCACTGTCTTAAATATTGCAAGTTGTTTTCACTCTTGCTGCTTTATAGAAAGCAGTCAAAACAGAGTCACAATAACACAAGCCTTACAGTATGGTACATTATTGAGACAACAGAAGAACTAGGTTCCTTAGCATGTCCCATCTTCTGGGTCTGTCTTTTAGATTGTAAATTCTGTGGAGGCAGCGAGTGTTGTGCACAACAGCAAGCATATTCTTGCCACTGAAACAGTAGCATATATACATGACAAATTACTTTCCCCAAGGGAACAAGTCAGCAAAATTGCACATCAGTAGCTACAGAGCTCTTTGATAGTCAGATTGATGACCATTATGTCTCTGAGTCACATAACTGCTTAATAGTAATCATGGCTACCTCAAGTTAGAAACTTTACATCCAAGAATGATAAACTAGTAAAACCAACCAACCAAACAAAAATATTTTGCAAAATAAAATGAGGAGGAAGTTCAGATCACACACAAACTTGTTGATAATGAGGCATATCTAGTCACAGCATATTAAGCAGAGGTTAGAAAGAGACCTATTCGGTAGCAGGGGTAGCGCTGCCGCCAGTCCTAAAGTTTCAGAAGAGTGACAATTTTTCAACATCTGTCGTGCATTTCACTCTCCACTTTCCAGAGATACCAGAAATGGAAAGGAAGATTACTTTTTGCAAGCCAACAGCAATTGGACCATCTAACCAAATGATTTGCCATGTGACCTGTTACTTAAAAACTAAGGGCAGCAGTGCTGTTTCAGTGCTATTGTCACTTGGCAAAGTGGGAGAAGAGCAGCTTAAAAAAAAAAAAAAAAAAGAGAGAGAGAGAGAGGGGCACAGTTTATTTTCCCAACAATTGAGACTGTACTTTCAGAACACTTCTCAGAACATTTGTGACCTTGAAGTTTATGGCGTTTCCCACGTCCATTAACTTTATGGGAGTCACATGTTCATCTTTAGACTTATCCAGACTCTGATGTACTATTTAGTCTTAATTTGTGACCTACTGATTCCACTCATTGCAATTCAAAGTCAGTTGTTGTGAGGAAGACACAACATGTTAATTATGTACTCAGACACCAATGAACAAAGGGCATTTTATCTATCAAGATAGTTACAGAATTTCCAGATATGAGATTCCGAATTGCAAATGAGAGGATAATTTTTTTTATTAAGTGAAGCTTTTAAACCAAGAAAAATTTCAGTTCCACTACAAACACAGGAAAACACAACCATCCTCGTGCAAGTGCTGGAGGAACCAACTAGGGGCAGAGCTCTTCTTGACCTGCTGCTCACAAACCGGGAAGAATTAGTAGGGGAAGCAAAAGTGGATGGGAACCTGGGAGGCAGTGACCATGAGATGGTCAAGTTCAGGATCTTAACACAAGGAAGAAAGGAGAGCAGCAGAATACGGACCCTGGACTTCAGAAAAGCAGACTGACTCCCTCAGGGAACTGATGGGCAGGATCCTCTGGGAGAACAGAGGGGGAAAGGAGTCCAGGAGAGCTGGCTGTACTTATTGAGGTTACAGGAACAAACCATCCCGATGTGTAGAAAGAATAGTAAATATGGCAGACGACCAGCTTGGCTTAACAGTGAAATCCTTGCTGATCTTAAACACAAAAAAGAAGCTTACAAGAAGTGGAAGATTGGACAAATGACCAGGGATGAGTATAAAAATATTGCTCAGGCATGCAGGAGTGAAATCAGGAAGGCCAAATCACACTTCGAGTTGCAGCTAGCAAGAAATGTTAAGAGGAACAAGAAGGGTTTCTTCAGGTATGTTAGCAACAAGCAGCAAGTCAAGGAAAGTGTGGGCCCCTTACTGAATGAGGGAGGCACCCTAGTGACAGAGGATGTAGGAAAAGCTAATGTACTTAATGCTTTTTTTTGCTCCTGTCTTCACGAACAAGGTCAGCTCCCAGACTACTGCACCGGGCAGCACAGCATGGGGAGGAGGCAACCAGCGCTCTGTGGAGAAAGAAGTGGTTCGGGACTATTTAGAAAAGCTGGACGAGCACAAGTCCATGGGGCCGGATGCGTTGCATCCGAGAGTGCTAAAGGAGTTGGCGGATGTGATTGCAGAGCCATTGGCCGTTATCTTTGAAAACTCATGGCGATCGGGGGAGGTCCCAGACGACTGGAAAAAGGCTAATGTAGTGCCCGTCTTTTAAAAAGGGAAGAAGCAGGATCCGTGGAACTACAGGCCAGTCAGCCTCACCTCAGTCCCTGGAAAAATCATGGAGCAGATCCTCAAGGAATCGATTCTGAAGCACTTAGAGGAGAGGAAAGTGATCAAGAACAGTCAGCATGGATTCACCAAGGGCATGTCATGCCTGACTAAACTAGTTGCCTTCTATGACAAGATAACTGGCTCTGTGGATGAGGGGAAAGCAGTGGACATGTTATTCCTTGACTTTAGCAAAGCTTTTGATACTGTCTCCCACAGTATTCTTGCCAGCAAGTTAAAAAAGTATGGGCTGGATGAATGGACTATACAGTGGATAGAAAGCTGGCTAGATCGTCGGGCTCAATGGGTAGTGATCAATGGCTCCATGTCTAGTTGGCAGCTGGTATCAAGCGGAGTGCCCCACGGGTCGGTCCTGGGGCCGGTTTTGTTCAATATCTTCATTAATGATCTGGAGGATGGCGCGGACTGCACCCTCAGCAAGTTTGCAGATGACACTAAACTGGGAGGAGTGGTAGATACACTGGAGGGTAGGGATAGGATACAGAGGGACCAAGACAAATTAGAGGATTGGGCCAAAAGAAATCTGATGAGGTTCAACAAGGACAAGTGCAGAGTCCTGCATTTAGAACGGAAGAATCCCACACACCGCAACAGACTAGGGATCGAATGGCTAGGCAGCAGTTCTGCAGAAAAGGACCTAGCGATTACAGCAGACAAGAAGCTGGATATGAGTCAACAGCATGCCCTTGTTGCCAAGAAGGCTAACAGCATTTTGGGCTGTATAAGTAGGGGCATTGCCAGCAGATCGAGGGACGTGATCGTTCCCCTCTATTCGACATTGGTGAGGCCTCATCTGGAGTACTGTGTCCAGTTTTGGGCCCCACACTACAAGAAGGATGTGGAGAAATTGGAAAGCATCCAGCGGAGGGCAACAAAAATGATTAGGGGACTGGAACACATGAGTTATGAGGAGAAGCTGAGGGAACTGGGATTGTTTAGTCTGCAGAAGAGAAGAATGAGGGGGGATTTGATAGCTGCTTTCAATTACCTGAAAGGGGGTTCCAAAGAGGATGGATCTAGACTGTTCTCAGTTGTAGCAAATGACAGAACGAAGAGTAATGGTCTCAAGTTGCAGTGGGGGAGGTTTAGGTTGGATATTAGGAAAAACTTTTTCACTAGGAGGGTGGTGAAGCACTGGAATGAGTTACCTAGGGAGCTGGTGGAATCTCCTTCCTTTGAGGTTTTTAAGGTCAGGCTTGACAAAGCCCTGGCTGGGATGATTTAGTTGGGGATTGGTCCTACTTTGAGCAGGGGGTTGGACTAGATGACCTCCTGAGGTTCCTTCCAACTCTGATATTCTATGATTCTATTATCTCAGTTTGGCTGAGAAAAAAATGTCAGTGAACTTACAAGCAATAGTTGTTCCACATAGGCAATATTCTTAGGTCTTTCAGAACGTAAAGCTCACCTGTTTATTCGGATTAATATCCTCTCTCTCTGCAACACGATCTGTCAGCTGCCCACTCCAGTATTGCTTTGCATGATGAATGAGCTGGTGTTTTTCAGAACAAGGTGGCACCACAACTCCTTCTTTTGCCAGGTATTTAAAAATTATTTCTCGATAGACTTTTCTTCGTTTCAAGAGTTCTTCTACACTTTGACTGTAAACTAAAATTGCATGAATGGCTTCTGGAAATAAAGAAAGTTAAGTCAGCAACTGCTTCTCTCATTAGAAAATGAATCTGTTGATTTTCTGACGAAAGTAAAAATTTCAACTTGAACATTTTTCTCAGTGATGACCAGTATCAAACTCATGCACATATTGTTGAAAGACATTCAAGCAAGCCATATGCAAAAGCCTGAAATGTATCTGTTGCCTCAATGGCCTAACAGAAACCGATCCTTGAATCAGAACTAACTGGCTGAAACTAGAGCTGAACAGTTTGTTTGGGGGCCGAATTGAAGATCCCCAAAAAATCAGTTGAGTTCAAACCTAAACTAATTTTTTAAAAAACTTTCCTCACCAAAAAGAAAACCTAAAATATATATATTAATTTTGGATTAAACAACATATTTTTGTACTCAAAAGGATTTCCCCTCCCCACCCAGTTTTTGGGTGTTTACCACCATTTTGGCTGTTTTTAGTAAGTAAAGCTAAATTCCTAAATGAAACATTTTAAAACAAAACATCAAAACATTGTTTCAAAACAGTCAATACAGTTTTGATTTTTTCAAACAAATTCTCTTTTTTCCAGCCAGAACTATTCACCAAATTCCTCCCTAATATGCTAACAGTTTTGGTGCCCTGAAATTGCATTTTTGGGCAAACTATTTGCTGGAAAAATAATTCACTTGGGTCTAGATGAAATTCAAACCATGCAAAACAGAGACAAATGCTTATAGGTTGTGGAAGCAACTTGGCCGTAACAACTCCACTGGCTCAAACTCTCTGCTTGCATACATTAATCATGTATGCAAGCAGAGGGTCTTGCTGGAGCCCCCAGTTCCTTCTGGATGTCCAGTGACTGCCAAAGGGACTTTATTTGAGCTTGTCAAAAAGGACAACCTTTTTACGATGTTTATTTTGCCACTCACAGAATGTGCTCCAAATGGACACTACACTTTCAAGTGATCTGGAAACTCTAGCTGCTGCAGGACACAGCAGCCAACTTATTTCAGGCAAAGGGAGCCCTGCACATGTTCACTGAGATGCATTAGCTAAAAACTTACTTTGGGTTAATATTTAAGTTGGCTTTGACCTAAATTATTTAGCTCTTGATACCGCAAGCTTCCTCCCCCCAAATGATACTGCAACAGCTGTGATCACTTGAATGAATCAAATCTAAAGTCACTTCCACCATTGGTCTGACTAAACCTGGATCTGATGTCCTTCAGAACATGCTGCAAGGCTTCTTTGTGTTCCCAGGAAAGGAACAGTATAGATACAGGGTTGAAAGAGAGGAGAATTTAACAGAATAGAGGGCCTTTTATGGTCTTTCTGACCAGTTGAGTTTTTAATCAATGTATAATTATTTTACTAGCCTGGATAGATACTTTTTTCTGCGAGGTTACAGTCAGAAAAGTTTATCTTCAAGAGGGAAATCCTAATGTTCTAATGTCTGCTTGCCGTCAACGACTTCCCTATTTAGATTTTATCAATAATACATAACATTTTGGTTAACTACCAGCCAGTTCTGTAAACTCAAATTGGGATTTAAAAAGCTGTGTTCTTTCTACCTCACACATCAACAATGCAGATTTCTAGAATCAGAACTTAGGTAGTGATTCTGCCAGCAATAAACAGAACACAGTTCAGTGAGATTCGCCTTCCATAAGCCATTACAGGTGTGAAGGCTGATGAAAGTATAAATGTTTACAATGTACAATAACCAAATATTTAAGATCCAGGGGGATGCACTGTGCAATGTAGGAAGGTGCCATTTTTAATATACAATTTTTCTGACAGAAAGCACATTACTATTGGAAACCCTTATTTTTCAGGGGTTCATTGCTCAGGAAATATTACAAGCTGAAACTTGGCCTTTAAAGAAGTCAAAGTAGCCAATTCTAATTTTAGCTGATGTTACACATCAAGCACTTTAGTATTTGATTCAGAACACCTTATATTTAGGAAAAGACTGTTTAGTGTTAACTTTACTTATCCTTATTGTATTCTATAAGTACTACAAAAATCCTTAAGTTAAAGCAAAACAGTCACAAATAAAAATGAGTCCTCAAAAAGGAATGGAAGATATACAAATGAGAGATACTTTGCCCTATGGGCTAGTAACTTATTTACCACCTGACTGTGCATGTTTCTTTCAACAACTGAGAGTAGAAGTTACTCATGCCAGCAGCAGCATTAACTGGTGTTTCAGTTAGTTGTAATGCAGACCTGCACCTTACCCTCCCCCCCCCCCCGCTACTTTTTTTAAAAGGACATAGAACTTACATGACACACACACACTACTTCATAAAGTATGAAAAGGCATTTCACTGTCAAACATAGAAGACAGTAAGCATTGCCTATCTTGGTAATTTGTTCAGAAGCCTGAGTGCCTCTCAGAAGAGCACAATCCATGATTTTACCCATTGAAAGCTGCTTTTGGTATGAACATCTCTCCTGCTTGTTTCAGAGTAGCAGCAGTGTTAGTCTGTATTCACAAAAAGAAAAGGAGTACTTGTGGCACTAACCAATTTATCTGAGCATAAGCTTTCGTGAGCTACAGCTCACTTCCGATGTAGCTCACGAAAGCTTATGCTCAGATAAACTGGTTAGTCTCTAAGGTGCCACAAATACTCCTTCTCCTGCTTGTGTAGAGCCTAGCATAATGGAGTACTGATGCTGTTTGGATACCACCACAATACACTAATAAAAAACAGACTTAACCCACAGAAAGATCCATGGAGGAAAGAGGCTCTAAACAGGGATACAATCAAATCAAGCGTCGAGGGCTCACACATGGTGTAATTTTTGGGCTACGAAAACAGCTATGGCATTTACCTAACCAAGGAACTACGAATTATTATTTTCTTTGAAAGCGGCAACGACTCCTGTGGCACCTTACAGACTAACAGACGTACTGGAGCACAAGCTTTCGTGGACCGACCAAGTAGGTATTCGCCCACGAAAGCCCACGCTCCAATACGTCTGTGAGTCTATTAGGTGCCAAACAGGACTCTTTGCTGCTTTTACAGATCCAGACTAACACGGCTGCCCCTCCGACATTTTCTTTGAAAAATATCAGAAATCATCAAATGAAAAAAAAAATCTAGAAAGTCCGTTTACCCCCCCCGTGTTTCCTATTTCAATACCGCGTCACGCTTGAGAGGCTCAGGCACCCGAGCGGCGCGATGACTTGACAGACCGGCATGAAGTCAACAGCTGGGTAACCTCGCAGGCCTCAGAGATCAACAGAGGCTTCAGCCCCGCCCCCGCCCGGTTCACAGGCGCGAGGCAGGTGACTGGCCAAAGCACGGGCCGCGCTGGGCGCTGTTCTGGGCGAACGCGGCAGGGCCGCCCACAGGCCGCGCACCGGGCGGGCGGGCGGGCGGGGGCAGCGGCGCGTGGGGGCACAGCTCGCAGCGCAAGACTCGTACTGCGCCGGCGCCGAGGAGCCCGCGAGAGCTGAGCGGCGGCCGCAGCCCGTGACCGGCCGAGGCCTCGAAGCCCAAACCCCAAGGAGCCGCTTCAGTGGGCGGGGCGTTGGCGGCTGCGAGGGGCGGGGCACTGACCCGCCGAACCCGGCAGCGCGAGGCGCCGCGCGACCCCCGCCCCCCCGCCGCGAAGGCAGGGGCCGCCTGACAAAAGGGGCGGGGCTAGCGCTAGAGCCCGCCCCTTCCTCCCCCTCAGCGGGCCCCAAGCACCGCCCCGGCCCCGGCCCCACCCGCCTTGTCGGCTCTGCGGCAGCACCAGGCGGTTAGTGATCGTGTCCGTCAGCGACGTCAGCTCCTCCGTCTCCAGAAGCTCCAGCAGCGCCCGGCACCCGGCCCGCTCCCGCTCGCTCAGCCCCATCGTCCGCCCAGCGGCAGCCGGCGCCGGGCTGTCGGCAGCCCCCGCCCTCCTCGGCTCGCGCAACCCTGACAACCAGCCAGCGGAAGGGACGAAGCTTCCGCAACCTGCGTGGGCGGCAGTAAACAGCCCCTCATGGGCCGCCTGGGAGCAGCAGCTAAAGGGACCCGGCTGGAAACGGGCACCTCCCGGCACTGTGGTTCCGCCCCTTTCCTAAGCCCCGCCCCTGGAGGCCGCTCGAGGCCGGCTGCGGGGGAAGGAGCTGGCTGGGGCGGGGTGTTGGTGCTTTCAGAGGGGAGGGGAGACCATGCAGACACCCCCACCCTGACCCCAAACCAGGGCAGCTTCTGATACACTCCCCCCCGTCGCCTCTCACCACTAGGGGAGTGAGCCTCAGCCGCTCTCTCTGCGCAGAGAGTAGAGGTTTGAGGACAAAGGGCAGGTGTTACCCTGCAGCTCTAGACCGATGCTGGGCAGGGGTGGGAAGAAGCCACGCCTTGGAGTGATGTAGTTATACCGACCTAACACCCCCCTAGACAGCCCTGGCAGCAGAAGAGCTTCTCCCATCAACATCGCTACTGGCTCTCAGGGAGATGGATTAACTACGCCAAGTGGAGAAGCTCTCCCATAAGTGTAGGCGCATCTTTACTTAGGGCATGGCGACACTTGCAGTTGTAGAGCGCTGGGAGCTAAACCAGCCTTTGGAGACCGCAGCAGGGAGAACGCTGCCGCGTGTTTACACTCTCAGCTGGAAGTGCACTGCTGTGGCTACATTAGCAGCACTTGCAATGCCACAAAGAGCAGTGCATTGTAGTAGCTATCCCAGCTTGCAAGTGGCTGCAGCGTGCTTTTCAAATGTGGGGGGGGGGGGCAGGGAAGATGACTGTGACAGGGAGTGTGTTGTGTGTATATAGAGGGAGAGAGAGTGGGTTTTGGGGGAGCTGAGAGCATGTCAGCATGCTGTCTTGTAAGTTCAGACAGCAGCAGACCCCCCCCACACCTCCCTCTCCCTCTCCCACACTCAAAGCAAGCAGCATTCCTCAGTAATGGTTCCTTTGTCCCAGAGTAGATAAGCAGCCAGCTGTCAGAAACAGAGCTTTGAAAGGGCATATCAGCATTCCTACAACAAGTTCAGAACAATGACAAGAGTGGCCACTTGATTTAAGGGGATTATGGGACATTTCCCAAGATCAGTCAGAGCACAACAATGCAACACCTTGTTCACAATGGCGCCACGACGCTCCAGTGGGGGGGGGGGGGGCGCGTAGCAAACATTATTCCACTGGCTGAGGTGGAGTACCAGCAGCGCTGTAGCCGTGGAGTCAGAGTGCTCTACGTGCCTTGCCAGTGTGGACAGGTAGTGAGCTAGTGCACCTGGGGCTCCTTTATTGCGCTGTAACTCACAAGTGTAGCCAAGGGAGTAGCAGAGGTGTACAGGCGGAGCACTGTATATGGAGACAAGCCCAAATATTCTCCTCTCAGAGCTTTTGGTTACGGGCCAAGTTCAGTTCTGCACCAAAGCAACAGGCAGGCACGCCCTGTGCCACTTCCCTGGGAAGCCAGAGGGTAGTCCAGACCCCTGCCTGACTCTTACCTCAGCCCTGCTACAGCTACCCACAAGGGCTTCATACCACGGTGGTATTTTTTTTGGTCATGGGGCTACTTGTCATGGCCCTTGGGAGGAAAGAGCCACCTAATAATTGTAGGCTTTGAGGTGGCACAGTGAAACCTCTCTCTCACTTGTTGGGCTTACTAATTCTTGGTCACATGACCAGGGTCTAACTGATCACCATGCGTAGGGTCGGGAAGGAATTTTCTCCAGGCCAGATTGGCAGTGATGGGGGGGGAGGGGGAAGAGAAGAGAGAGGGGTTGCCTTTCTCTGCACTATAGGTCACTTGACACAATTTAATCATTTTCTTGCCCTTGCAGGGGCCTTGGGCAGTGGTGCTTCTCAGTCCCTACCTGTTGCACAGAATAGTTTAGTCTCCTGGGGGTTGTACTACTTCTGTGTTCTAATTTCAGATGTTGGGTTAGTGTGCAGATGTTGGTGGCCTCTAACAGATAGAAAGTAAAACTTGCTGATCATGTGATCTCTTCAGGCCTTAACCTCTATGCATCTAGGTCGCTTTGGACCTAACCTTGATTTCAAGCATCTCCTTTCAGGTATAAGAGGAACAGCCGTGTTAGTCTGTATTCGCAAAAAGAAAAGGAGTACTTGTGGCACCTTAGAGACTAACCAATTTATTTGAGCATGAGCTTTCGTGAGCTATAGATAAGCTATTACCAGCAGGACAGTGGGGTGGGAGGAGGTATTGTTTCATATTCTCTGTGTGTATATAAAGTCTGCTGCAGTTTCCACGGTATACATCTGATGAAGTGAGCTGTAGCTCACGAAAGCTCATGCTCAAATAAATTGGTTAGTCTCTAAGGTGCCACAAGTACTCCTTTTCTTTCAGGTATAGGCTCCATACCCCATTACCAATCCCTGGCAATAATGCATCTTCCTAATAAACTAAATTTTTAATCATTCAAATGGTCTAATGTTTAATAATGATCATTTAGAGAGCACCTTCAATCCAAATCTATTCCACAATATTTTCCCTATGCATTTGTTCAATTATATATACACACACAGGAATCATTTCTTCAATAACTGAAATTCAAGTCTCTGAGTAGAAATTGATAAACTGGTAAAATAGGAATAGATTGTATCTTAATGTCACCTTTTCAGCACCAATGAAAACCATATGCAATGGTTTTGCTAGTTTAACCCAGTCTGATGATGGACAACGTAACTATACTAACTCACCAACTCCTGTTTAATTACTTCAGTTACCCTCTTTTTTGCCTCTCAGACATCCACGTTGCCTTTTCCATTGTATACAAAATGCTATTATCTTCCTTCCTCTCATTTCAATATATCACATTCATGTACCTCAGTATGCCACACTACCAAATGAGTTAATTTATTAAAACAATTAGAGATCATTGGATGAGTTGCAAAGTACTATGTATTATTATCTGAGGAGGTTGCCTTTTGACTACTACAGAAGTTGGGCAGTATGTGCCAAAAGCAGGAACAGTGGTTCTAACCAGGTAGTGCAGTCATCCATGACAGAACCAAAACAGAAATATAGCTCTATGAATAAACTGATTATCTGGTCATTATGGGAAGAGCACTCAATCTTCTATAGTTTAAGTTACAACGTTCTTCCTGCTAAAGGATGAATTGCAACTCTACACTATTTCACCTAGCTTATTAGTGCATGTTGCTCTTCAGATGCTTTGGAGAGTGTTTGTAGATTGTACTGTATGTTTATATTCTGATGACCAGCCCTTGACACAAACAAGAATTATATACAAGATGATGGTTGGAAAAAAAAAAAAAAAAGAGGTTTGAGTAAAGAAATTCCAGAAATTGATGTTATGGTTATAACTTGTTAATATTGCACATGAACTATGTTGCATAGTACAGGTTAAATTATAGACATATAGTTATAATTCTATAGCTAATTTATAATAATATAATATATAATAATATAGCCTTTCCAGCTAAATTTTGCAATCTCCTGCTACTTTATTTACTAAAAAAAAATCCTTTCCATCTTAAACTTCACATGTGTGGGCTCTACCAAGAGAATTTTGTAAGTAATTTGGGGGTTATCTAGATGAGGTATTGAGTTATGGGACCCTTCAATAAGTAAAGTGTACTTAACTGTTTTGTAAAACAAAGAGGTAAAATTTAAAATGAGTTTTATTCATTAGTCATGTATGAGATCTAGTTCTCATGACGTCGGGCACAAAATTTGAGAATAAGTATTTTGAGCATTGACCACCCATCAGATAATGGAAGGTTTTATAAGGTTTTTACATTTTGACACTGTGCTAATAGAGTTTGTAAAGTGTTCTGGCACTGGCTGAAATGCTCATGTTAGAAAGAAGTTACAAACTCTGTCACAGACCATGTGTGTTTCAGTGACTGTCCTCTCTTACATTTTAGTGATTACAACAGTTGTTTTCAAACTTTGTTTCTGGGGATCCAGTTGAAGAAAATTGTTGATGCCCATGACCCAGTGGAGCTGGGATGAGGGGTTTGGGAGGGGCTCAGGGCCGGGGTTCACGGTGTGGGAGAGGGCTCTGTGTTGGGGTGCAGGCTCTGGGGTGGGGCCAGGGATGAGGGGTTTGGGATGCAGGAGGGGCTCTGGGTTGGGGTGCAGGAGGGGGTCAGGGCTCTGGGCTGGGGATGAGGGCTTTGGGGTGCAGGAAGGGCTTCAGGTTTGGGGGGCAGCTCAGGGTTGGAGCTGGGTGTCAGGGCTCTGGGCTGGGGCAGGCGATGAGGGGTTTGGGGTGCATGAGGGGGGGTTCCAGGTTTGGGGGGACGCTCAGGGGGTGGGGCAGAGGATTGGGATGCAGACTTACCTCTGACAGCTCCTGGTCAGCAGCACAGCCAGGGTGCAGAGGTAGACTTCCCGCCTATCCTGGCACTGTGGACCATGCTGCACCCCAGAAGCAGCCAGCAGCAGGTCCAGCTCCTAAACAGAGGCATGCAAGTGGCTCCACGCAGCTCTCACCTGCAGGCACCACCCCACTCCCAGCTCCCATTGGCCAGTTCCAGGCCAATGGGAGTGCGGAGTTGGTGCTTGGGGCGGGGGCAGCGCATGGAGCCAGAGGGCTCCCCTGCCTAGAAGCTGGACCCACTCCTGGCCGCTTCCAGGGTGCAAGGCGGTGTTGGAGCAGGTAGGCACTAGCCTGCCTTAGCTGCGCAGCACTGCCGATGGGACTTTTAACATCCCAGTAAGCGGTGCTGACCAAAGCCGCTACGGTCTCTGGGCATACATACTCTGAGCAAGGTGACCCAGTGCCTTACATGCTGCCACCCAGTACTAGGTCGCGACCTGAACTTTGAAAAACACTGATTTACACAACCTTTCACAATTCTAGCAAAATACTTTAAGAAGTCAGTCTATGCAGTTTCCAGAAATGTTTTTAATTACTTTCTAAAAAAACCTAAGAAATTCTCAGAAGTTGCATTGACGTAGAGCTGAGAATTTCCACTACAAACTGTACCGAATAAAGTTATTACAAAAAACAAGCAATTGGTAACTTGGAAATTAGTAATTAAGATTGCACAGCCAAACTTTGT